CTGATACGCGAAAACAATATAAAAATTTCACCTCATTAAAATTCTATTTTTTAAGTGGAGCCTTCCCAACAAAAAATCATTGTTTATTACCGCCAGCACTAGATCGAGCAATACGACAATTGCAATATGAATACAACGTTACGATAGCTACTTAAGTATAAACGGTACTCTGATTTGTTCAAACCAGGTTATTGCAGCACGCATGTTTACATAGCATATATGAATGAACGTATTTGTTTGAACATCTGTGCAATTGCAGTAATCAATGATTGCAGTGATGAGTTGAGGTTGCGTTACAAAATGAGCTCAATTCATGGTTTATGTAGCAACCTCCTTTTATTATCCAATGTGAAGACTCAATTGTGACAGCAAATCCGAGAAATTCGGAGAAAAGAGCATCGCATCGCTAATAAATTCAGAAGTTAGAAGTGTTCAATATTATCGTAATTGTTATGTTACAATGATGAGTTAGCATACTAGCAAAGAATGAAAAGTATCACAGATTATGAGCATTTGAATGACTTCATCGATGATAGTAAGGCATGAAAACAAAAAATAAACCATGAAATGAGATGGCTTATAAATGGGATGAGAGGTAATATAAAAGATGTTCAATTTCAGATAGCATCTATTCAACAAAAGATATCTAATTCCTACTTTCAAACCGCTCGTAAAAGAGGCATCAGAGCAATGAATAATTTCTACGTTACCCATGTCTCATTGTTGCTCTCAGCACTTTCTCATGATGAGTAAGGCATAGTCGAGCTACATCTGAATCAATTTATTGATTCATTCCTTGGAAAATAGTCGGTTTTCTGCTTATTTGAGATGAACATTGAGATTATTACTTATCTTCAAAGCCGCCTAAGTTAAAACGTTCAGAAATGTTTCAGACTGTAGGTGATAAATTGAATTACATATTTGTTGTAATCTGTGATCACTGAAAGTTGCCTGATCGCAATTTTACTTGANTTCATCGCCGTCTTCTTATCGACCTCGCTTTTATCAGACTTTTCCAATGAATAAATACTCTTAATCTTTCTGCTGAAGACAGCAGTGAAAATCTACCTACACACAGAATTCATTTGAAAAAATAAGTGCTATCACAAAATAAGCATAAAATACAGAGCAAGCCTAATAGTAAGCTAGGTTTGTCGCAACTAGTGAGTCACGATAGGAATTTAAAGTGGTGATTCATTAAAATAGAGGATAGCATGAAGGCGCCTAGCAAAATTTCTGATGTATGAATGAAGCGCATACTGTAGGGAATGCAGGCTTAGCAGATGCTTCAAAAGGATAAGATGAAACAGATGGGTATGATAACGAATATGAGAGGAATCATTCATCGCCGTAACGCTTCTTTTGCTTGGTTCATTTTACCGCTGTTATAAAATTTCATTACGATTCGTGTTATTTATCGTCAATGTTGCTGATAGTTGAGCGTGATTTGAAGCAGGTAATTGCTATTCGAAAGATATGCGCTCTTATTATTATTATTATTATTATTTAAGTTGAACCCCGTTGAATGTATTCTTCTCATGAATTCGCGAACCGAAAATTTCAGGGAGTGAGATCAAGAAAATTTGAGCAGCCGAAATTCATTCACTACGGCGTCCGAGATGGTCCTTTCTAACTAATTGTTTGCAATGACATCTCACACAGATTGTTTCCACAGCAAACGGCATATTTTCATGGGCTGGCACTTGCACATTTTAGACTTTTACTTTTTTCCGTACAGTTGTGCAAGCTATCGTCATTCTAATATGCATTCAGAGGATATTTTATATGATATTACAACTGTTCACATGAACTTGAAAACGCAAAAAACTAAATAGGTTTATTGCTGAGACATAAGAAAAGCCAATCGATTAACGATGATAATCAATGATGATTGCTTTTTGATGGCTTCATAAGACATCCTCAAGATGTTTACTGTCGACTTGATTCGGCAAAGTGATCACCAATCCAGGCACTTGTTGCATTGTCCTTTTTATTGTTTCATGAGCAAAATCATTACCAGACCAACAACGTCTTGCCACTCCATTTGATACATCCCAATTCAGCATCATTTCTGCTCTGTGCGCTGCTTCCTAAACATTATACCTCTCGTTTATTCTATATTCTTTCTTTTTTTAATTTAACAAGTTTGCGAAAGCTATTGGACCGAATCAATTTTTGAAAACAACTGAAGCATCTGCATTTAAGAGAGTGTTGTGCACAGATATGCGCTCATTGTTATGCGGACTCAGTAGGTGCTGCATGCGTAGAATTAGTAAAACGTACATAGTGCAGTGCATCAACTGAGCACGCACTTATTCTTCAATTCGCTCTCACACCGCTGCCCCTAGACCATTGAAATGCTAACAGATTATTTTCCGAGTTCTTTTCCGCTTTAATGATGAAATTTTGATGGTTCGAAATCAACAAAGTGCTTCGGTGTTAACACCAAACAAAAGAACCAAAACAAACCTTGCTTCCATCGAGTAACATACCAAAACCGCCATTCATAGCATCTCCCCAACCAGTACCACCGCCGTTGTGAATTGACACCCATGTAGCACCTCGGAATGAATCGCCGATTACGTTCTGTATAGCCATATCGGCTGTGAATGCTGAACCGTCGACTATATTCGCCGTCTCTCGGAATGGACTGTCTGTACCGCTAACGTCATGATGATCACGACTTATTACGACACCGCTCTGCAATTTAGCTTTACCGTGTTTCGTTTAGCATTTATCTGGGTTCTGAATA